AGTCCTGTAGTGTGGATATATATATTTATATTTTTACAGACTATATAGATATTGTTGAGATATCTAGGATGTATCTGCGTATCGGGTTTCTACTTGGACTGTAATAAAGTAGAACTTGCATGTGGGCCTGACCCACCTTCATTTTTCAGTTATTCGTCAAGAGTAAGGATTGTTCGTGCTGAGTAGGGATCGTTTACTTCATTCTTCCGGATTATGTTATTTAGGAGATTCTTTATGTTTCAGTATTCTGATATAGTCGCTTATTCAGTTGGGATTTTTCTAGGGGTCCACAGAGTATAGATTCCCGAGTTGTATTAGTAATGGAGGTTTGGATGTATCAGAATATTTTCTTATTTATAAAAATTTATTTTAAGGATTTCATTAGTAGATTATCGTTTTAGTTTCTTTCAGCAATTTTATTTATTCTCAGTTATCATGTTTGTATTTTGTATTCGATTATTGCCATTTGTTTCTTATATCCTCGGGCGTTCGGGCGTGGGTCTCGCCAATCCGCATCCGAAAATCCGGGGGTATCACAGTATACTTGCCTTACCACCATCTTAATCTTGATAGTTGGTCTTCTTCTCCTCCTCCTACACTGAGCATCTCCTCTGTTTTCCTTCATATTTGTATTTCTGATACCACCATTATATTATTGTTTATTACGTGATTCAAAAGAACCCCTACAATAGGCATGCCAATAGATGGATGCTAAAATATCAAAATGAAAATCCCCAAGCTTAGCTTTGTTGTCAAATTTTAGTTTGAGAGAGAACAATGACAAAAATCATTATTGAATTGGAATTCTATGTAAAAATGGAGTTGAAATTCTCAGAGAATGGATAGAATGTACGAATCAGAATTTCAAGGAAGGTTAAAAAGAATGGTACAAGTCTTCACACATACTTGCTATAAGTACTAGTCTAGCCAACCAAACAGGTATGAACAATTAAGTACAAAAGTTTCTTATTAACTTTATAATTCCGAGCACTAACTTGACCATTAGAGCTAGGATTGTTTTATACGACACTCCACCGTCAGTGTACGTAAGTCACATCATTCTTTTGACCAAAAAAAATTAGTGTGACGAATGTGGGATTATTTCATCAATCTATCCCCCATCCACATAAAATGGTAGAATTAATGCAGGAGTTCGAAAAATTATAATTTTACTAATATATATATATGGGCATAGTACAGAAATCTCTCTCGATTTGTAGCCTTTTTCAGTAAACCCTCTCATCTAATTTTTTACCAAAGAACCCCCCTCGACTTGTAGCTCTTTTCCAATAAATCTCTCTTATCTAATTTTTTTACCAAAGACCCCCCTCAACTATCCAAGGGGGATAAAAGAGTTGATATTTGGACCATAATACCCTTTTATTTAAATCTTAATTTTTTCGAACTTAAAAAATTCATATCTCACAAACCATACATCTAAATATTGCAAATAATATATGCACGGAAAACTTATAAAATAAGAATTTCATAAATATAAGATTTGTTTAACAAAACTTCAAAATCAGAGAGAAATAGACAATCTAAAAATCTATTACAACAATCTTATTTTATTTTATTTTTTTTTATAAAATACTCATATTTGTAAGAAAGTTTTAGAATTATTCATTTTCATATGAAGCATAACATATAAAAAAAAAATTAACCCCAATAGAGACCAGATATTCATTTTTTTTTTTTTTTAATGGCGAATCTATAAAAGAATGAAAATACTTTGACGCAAAATATGATATCTCATGAAATCAATCTCTATTATGGTTAAATTTTTTATATATTCAACTCCATATGTAAATGAATAATTCTGAAAATTTTCTTGCAAATATCTCGAGCATTTTATTTCTTAAAAATAAAATAAGATTGCTGGAATAGATTTTTAAATTGCTTATTTCTCTCTGGTTATGAAGGTTTGTTATACAAATCTTATATTTCTAGAATCCTTATTTCATAAGCTTTCCGTACGTATATTATTTATAATTTTTAAACGTGCGATTTGTGATATATGAATTTTTGAAGTTCGGGAGAATTAAGATTCAAATAAAAAGGTATTTTGGTCCAAATATCAACTCTTTTACCTCCTTCAGATAGTTGAGGGGGGTTTTTTTGGTAAAATATTAGATAAGAGAAATTGATTGAAAAAATGTTACAAGTCAAGGGGTTGGTAAAAAAAATAAATAAGGGGGTTTACTGAAAAAGGTTACAAATCGAGGGAAATTTTCTGTACTTCGTTCTCTCTCTCTCTCTCTCTCTCTCTATATATATATATATATATATATATATAATTATCCAATATGATTTTTAGGACCAATGGGAAACAGACTTTTTTTTTTTTTGCCAATTAATTAATTTGTTCATAGTAGTATCCTCAAATTTTAGTTTTCTCAACCACAACCTAAACTTTTAATCATACTATAAGTGTGACAAGCTGAACTCTTATTATATATGAGAATAACATGTTATGCACAAACACAAAGAACAAACACCACTATTCAGGGCATGTTTGACATGCGTTTTGTTTTAGGCGTTTTGTTTTTGGCTAAAACAGAAACAATGTTTTTACTGTAAGAGTGTTTTAGAACAAAATCGGAAAACACGTTTGGGAACGATGTTTTGCTGTTGAAATGTCAAAAATAGAAATATGCAAAACATGTTTGGTAGGTCATGCGTTTCAAGAATTTTGAAAACAAAACATGTTTGGTCACTCCAACTGTTGCCAAAAAAAATAAAACAAAAATAAAAAACATGTTTGGTTATTATTGTTTTTAATTTGTTTTTATAAATTTTAAGTATATTTATAAATTTATTTCTATATAAATAATCATCATATTTTTAATAGATATGGAGAAATTTGAACACACAAACATAAATATATATATATATATATATATATATATATATATATATATATATATATATACACACACACACAATCCAAACTTGAACTCAATGTCACATTTTATGCAATGGTAAATTTATATAAAAATACATTTTAATAATTCAAATATTATCTATATTTTTTTCCATATATAACTATATAATAAGTGGCTATAAAAGCCCTAAAATTTTTTGCAATAACTTATTTATAAGTTGTTTGCAATAACATACTTCAATTTTGTTATCCTATTACCTGTATAGTCCAACACATTCAAAATAAAAACAAATCAAACTGCAAGCATAAGTGGAATATAGTGTATTCCATTTACAAGTGCTTAAATATTCAACCAACAAATTAAACATGTTTAAGTTCTACATAAAATGTTTGGAACAAAGTAGTAACAATACATAATTGGGACTAAAAATTGATAATATGTTCATAAAGTAGATGACAATGGCAACGACACATCATCTTCATAACAGCACAAGTCACCTTCAAGAGAGCATCAACACACTTCATGTCTGCAATGGTAGCATTTAAGTTAAAATATATTAACAATAATAGTAGCAAGTAATAGTAACAACAAAAATGATATATATTACATATATAAATATTACAAGCCCATAATAGCAACAAATATATTACATATAAAAGAAAAAACATACCATCACTCTATCAAGTGTACCCAAGAGAATTTCAGATTCCGTCAGCAATAATATTACGCAACTGATCCATTTCTCGAAGCTGAACCGGAGGCACATGCTCAAAAATCTCATCGTTTTCACCATCACTTTGAGGAGGGAAAGAAAACAATCTCTGTGATACCATAGGGAAAGAAAACAAAATAAAAAATTAAAAAATGAAAGGCAGTTAACCAGAACATTGATTTAAAGACATCTTCCAAGAGAGTGGGTGTTCTTGGCAAGAAATCATCCTGGGTAAGATTAAGTTGGCATGGTCAGTTCATTACATTGGAGTAAGTCCACCAAATTTATATACTGATGGTGAAATGTAGGTATTTTCAAGACATAAACAACATATCAGCTAGGTCAAATAAGGTTTTTTCCATCATATGTACATACACTCTCTCTTGCTTTCTCCTAAACAGTTACTCAATAATATTAATCAATTATTCAATAAAATATGCTTAATAATCATCACTTTCCACCAAATTATATATCTATCGGTTGCTCAACAACCACTGATGCAACACTCAAAATCAGCTTAACAAACCAAACACAACTCATTGTCCACAAGACCACAGACCATAACTTTTCTTGAACAAGAGATCTACCGGATGAACGTTTTCCTAAAACTAACATGGTTAGGTTAGAAAAATACTGGAACTAACTTTTTCTTTTTATTTTGTATGTAAATGAATATGTCAATTTATATTAGTGCTAGGCTAATTAGCTAATGTACAAAAAAAAAATAAAAAAAAAATTAAAAAAAATAAAATTTAAAAAATGCTTAAAAAAAAGCCTCAACATTCATATTATCCAAAATTATGAAGTACATAGAACATATGAATTATCCTGAGCATTTAAAGAGTTGAAATACATAAACTCCTTCAACACAGAGAATAAACCCCTTCGTGCTACTGCACATGTATAATTACTAAGAAATCATCCAACCACATGAACTCATTTCCTTGAACTTCTTGTGGTTCACAACTGTATTTTGAGGTTACTAAACAACCTCCAAAGAAACCTATCAAATGAAAGAAGCTAGCAATCCCAAATTGAGATCACATACCCACTTCCAAGGAAAAGTGTTATTGCCACTAATGTCTTAATTAAGATTAAGTTTCTAGTACATTGTTATTTTCATGGCAAGGAAAAGTGTTAAGCAAGAGAGAGAGAGGTAGGTTTAGGGTCCAAAACTCCTTCTGGTGTAATTGACACTAATGTCTTAATTAAGAGCTCTCTATGTGTCACAACAACATGAAATTTGAAAGATTCAAAAAGCATGAAGAAGCACATGGCATTAGGTGAATAAATGTAGATTCTGCATGTCCATCATCATGAACTGAACTCTTCCAAGCCTTGACTATGCCCTCTTTACTTACCCACTCTTTTTATACATATTTCATCGTCCACTCACTCACTCACTCACTCACTCTCTCAACTCCTCCAAGCTTATCTATATAAAGTTCCCAACTATCCAAAGCTAATTAACATTGTTAAGCATACAAAAATGGCCTTTTACTTGGCTTGTTTCTGTTTACTCATGCTCAAGTTCTCAATCACCATGGCAAACTTGCCTAACATCTCCAATGAAGCATGTGCCAACGGTGCTGTTACTATTGTATTGCAATTTGGTATGTATCAAGATAGTTGCCCAGAGGCTGAGCCCATCATCTTCTCTTTGGTGGAAAGGGCAGTGTCCCAAGACCCTAGAATGGCCGCTTCTCTGCTTCGACTTCATTCCCACGATCGCTTTCTTAATGCATGTCATGTTTCAAATTTTTTGTTCTATATATGTTTTTAGCTTATATAGTTTAATATTTAATGAACACAAGTTTGGTTGCAGGGATGTAATGCATCAGTGTTGTTAGATGACATGGGAAATCTAGCTGGGGAGAAAACTGCCGCACCAAACTTGAATTCACTGAGAGGGTTTGAAGTGATCGATACGATCAAGTCTAATCTCGAGTCAGTTTGTCCTGAAACTGTCTCTTGTGCTGATATTCTTGCAATTGCAGCAAGAGACTCTATTGTTCTGGTATATATGTGTTGTGTGTGTTAGTGATCAATACACTGGTTCTCTCTAACCATTGTGAACAAGTAGTACTAGTGTGGTGGTGTACTAATTTGCATTCTAATTCCTCAGTCAGGTGGCCCAAGATGGGAAGTGGAAGTGGGAAGGAGGGACAGCTTGACAGCAAGCAAAACAGCAGCTAACAACAACATTTCAGGCCCCAATTCGGACGTCCCAAGACTCATCACCAAGTTCAGAAATGTCGGTCTCACGCTTGCTGATGTCGTTACCCTCTCAGGTAGCTTGATTTCTTTATTTTTAACCCAGAACATGCATGTTTGGATGCTGAGAAAACATTCTTTCTTTCTCTTTGGGAGGTGCACACACAATGGGGAAAGCTCGATGCTCAACATTTAGCTCTCGGCAAAAGGGTAATAGCAATAGAGACTCAAATGGCCCAGACATTGATGTGGCCTTTCTTACCTCTCTCCAGCAACTATGCTCAGAAACAGATAGCAACACAACGCTGGCACATCTTGACCTGGTGACCCCATCAACATTTGATAACCAGTACTATGTTAACCTAATTTCTGGGGAGGGATTACTTCCATCTGATCAGGCTCTTGTGAATGGAGCAAATACGTTGCAAATACGCAATGAATTTTATCAGGAACCAGAAGCAATTGAATCAAACAACTCAAAAATATACATTTACAAGCAAATATAAACACAATAAAACCAATTTCATAATAACTTCTCATTTGATTGATTCAACAAACTGAAACCAGAAAAACCAAATCAAATTGGGGGCATTCAAATTCCTCACTTGCAAGATCACAGTCTATAACATCAACATACTTCACAGCTAAATTGACCGACGCGCAATCGCACAACACCGCACATGACTCCTTGAAACCCTGCCGAGCAGGTCACCGTGGTTCACCACGATCATCGTTAAGAAGGCGGCGAAACCAGACCCCACCACCGAGCAAGTCACCGTGGTTCACCACGATCATCGTCAAGAAGGCGGCGACACCAGACCCCAAAGAATGTTAGGCAAAAATCATCTTAATCGATGACCCATTTTCGAGCCATAATCGCTTCGGATTCTCTGATTCCTGCCTTGTTCTTCGACGAAGACAACAAAAGAGCAAAGATCGGTGGTTAGTTTGGTGGATTTCAGCCAAATAAGCACACACAGCACAATCGCCCCAAAATCGCCTCCGCTCGAGCTCTCTAGAAACCCTAGAAAATGACCGAAATGTTTTAAGTTTGGTTTATATACGTGTTGCAAGTCTGGTTTAAGTGAGTTTTTTTTTACTTCTTCCGTTACAATGATTATTTGGGTTAACAGTACCCAAAACACGGTAAAACACCAAAATGGTGTTTTAATTTTTAGCCCAAAAATTGAATTTGTTTTGACACTATTGACAGCAAAGTAGACTGAACCAAACATGTTTTGGGCTAAAAAATTACTACTGTAGCAGACCTGCAACAAAAACACATGAAACAAAACAGATACCAAACAGGGCCTCACATAATAATATGTTTTAAGGTTTGGATACATGCATTGAACTCATAGATCAAGCTAGCCCGTGAGGGTGTTTAGTTGTGAAGTGATCATACGAAGATGACACGACAACTCGTCACCTTAACTCATTAATGGAACCCCACTAAGTTATTATTCCCAAATCCCAATTCCAAACAATTCTCAATTCTCATCAGTTTTCTTGACTTATTATTCTAATGTTGCTTCTTCAACACTTTTTTGTTTTTAAATATATACCTCAAAATGACAGACATGAAATGGAGTAGAAACAGCAGCGTTAGGATGATACACACACACACACACACACGCAATTATAAATATGCCAATTTGGGACTCGAAGTCGCATATTCCAACGGCGACCACCCGCCGCTTGCATGCGCTGGCAATATTTTAAGAAATAGTATGATAACTAACCTGGTTTTTGGTGACCTCCAAAGGCCACTTTTGCCAACTCGACAATCCACGTGCCCTCCATGTCACACTTTCTGATTTGCGTCTAATCTAAAGGTTGAGTTCTGATTTGCTCGAAGCTAGCCAAGAGTTGTACAATCATCTAAAAAGAACACTATATTTATTTAAGAGAGCGGTGATATAGACGTCCGACAAGATTACTCTTATACTCCATTATTTTTATTAAAATAAAATATCAAAAAGTCGCCAAAACTCCTCTCCTATTCCCATCCTTCATTGCTGCTACTTATTTTTTCTTTTTTCTTTTTTCCTTTTTGTTTTTCGTTTCTTCAATCGATTGGATATGCCTGATTCCTTTTTGAATCTCAGAAATATGAATGCAAACTCATTCCAATGTTATTTATATCATTTATGAATACCTTTTCAATTCTCCAGTAAGTCTCAAGTCAATTCCATATTGTATTGAGGTTATTAAAATCAACTAAACAACTTTCATATCGATCGTCTAGTTATTCTGATCATGGATTTTGAGCTAAGTAATCAAAGAATTTCTGTTATGTGGTTGCCTGCTTACTAGCCGCGGTCGTATGACTATATGAGTAGAGATGGTAATTTGACCCGCCCGCCCAGCTTTGTTTTTGGTAGTTTTGGGGGACCGTTTAAATTATTTGGGCGGAAATGATTCGATGTAATAAAAATTCGCGTGGGTTTGGTGCAGGGAGAGGTCTCCCCGCCCCGCGCCACCCCTGTTTAAATAGACAAATTACTTTAGTACCCTTATTTCATTGCTATATATATTTTCCAGTATATGTATTAAGTATTTTATATAACAATATTAAAGTAACTAATGAATTTGATTAGAAGGAAAGTTGCAATGGTGAAGAACTGAAGATGAAGGGAAAAAAAAATAGCAAATCTATTTCAACAATAAATAAATTATGGTCTTAAACGGGGCGGGACGGATACTCGCAGGGATAGAAATGTTAAACCGTTTTGGACGGGGACGGGGGCAGAATTTTTAAACAGTTGCAGGGGCAGGGGAGGGTACACCCCCCCAAACCTGCCCTCGTTGCCATCCCTATGTATGAGGCCATAAAATAAAGGATTTTTTAGGGTTTGGTAAAAGAGAGAAAAAGGAAAGAGATGGTGCACAAAATGAGAGTCCGAAAATTTCACTAGGATATTGTCATTTTAATTTAATAAAAAAATTAATGAAATGCCATACCATCTTTGTGGAGTGCTAATATCACTACCCTTATTTAATCATTACTGTTATATTTGAGGTTAATCGGTTGGCTAGTAGTACAATAAAGTAAAACCCACTCATCTTCATGTGAGTGGTGAAAGGGTCTCATCAAATTTATTTATTTATTTATTTATTTTTTATTTATTATTATTATTATTATTATTTTCTGATAATACAATCAAATTAATCTCAATTCAAACAAAGACATTATCATTTCTTTGAATTTCAAAAAATGAAATGATGCATTTAAGTTATTGACATGTACACTAGGGAGATAGTAGGACACTATCATCCCTAGAGGAACACTTTAGCTCAACTTATATGCTTTGTTCGATACAAAGAAAAAAGAGGTATGAAGAAAAAATAAGAAGGAATAAACAAATTTTATTAATTTGGTAGAATAAATATAAAGAAAGAAAGAATAATAGGAGAGTTGAGTTGTCATTCTTCCTTTATAAATTTTTATGTATCAAAAAATGAACCGAAGAGAAGAGAAGTTTTAAATGAAATGTTTATTGTAAATTATATAAGTTTTAAATTACAGTACTATCCTATATAAATTACAATATTATAGATATTACGGAATAGAATGGTAAAAATAATTTTCTTTTCTTCTGACGAACATAGTAAATTGTGAGTTTAAAAATGTCTCCATCCAATCTTCTCTCCCTTTCATCTAAATTTTTTCTTTCTTATCGAACGAAGTATTAAACTACTTCTAGATGTACCATAAAGCATATTAAATCGCATATTCTTAATTTTTCTTTTTCTTTCAATCTTGCATATTATTAATTAACAAACCTTGATTTATGCATTTGCCATGCATGTCATGGGTCTTAAATTAAACAAGGTTTATCCCATTGTGATGCGAATACCACTCCCCAATTAATCATCAAATCAACCACCCTTACCTTGATCCACTGTTGATCTTGATTTTGAGGTCCTAATCTTTAGCTAAATCCTATGTTAGGTAACTAATATTTTCAATCATGATTCATGGATAACATATATTAATCACCATCATGTCGTCATGATTTCTAATTATAACATACTTTAAACATTTCAAATACACTAATTAAGTCCTTACGACCCACACACACAATTTTTTTTTCTTATTTTTAATTATGTACTTATGAAATTTTAACATTGCTCCTCTTAAAATTTCAAAAAATAAATAAATAATCACGCTCAATATCTTGAATCCTTCATCGAGAAACTTCTTATTTGCTCTCAGCAACAACAGTAATTTTCTGGATTTATTATTTTAAAAAAATATATGATATTTTAATTTTTTTCTCCATTTTTTTTTATTTTATTCTTCTTGTCTCTCAAGCTACATTTTGAAAGTTTTTTAGCTACTATAATAATTTAATTTTCCATATCAATTTGTGAAGTTAATTGATACATCATCTAGACATTTCTTATTCATTTATAAGAGAAAACGTGTTACACTGAGGCTTTGTTTAAAATATTTCTTCTGAAAACATTTTCTTTTTTTAGGTACAATATTTTTTTTATTTTTGCTTTTTTGGTATTTGGCAAAGGTGTCGGTCGAGCCCATTGGACAGGACGAGTAAAATAACTCGCCTAAAATTGATGGGTAAGTTATTTTTGTTAGATTGTAATTTTTTTTTTTACTAATTAAGTCTTTACAACAACCAAACACCAAAAAAATATATATATATTTTTTGAAAAATATTTTACATGCAAACAAACAAAGCCTAAATATTTTATATGTGACCCAATCAAATTGATATCGACAAAGGCTTTACTATCTTTTTGGATTTCAAAAAATGAGACATGTATGCAAGTTATAGTTCCTATAAGTACATGATTTACGTTATTATAAAGAAATTATACAAAACTCTTTGAACTTTTATTAGTTTCATGTTATATTGTATTTTAGGGAGATGCATATATGACATCGTTAGATAAATATTTGCATAATTTTAAACTGTTTATATCACAAATTCATTTATCAGTATTTGATGAATAATTATGAACTGCTTAGCGTGGTGAGTTGCGCACACAAATCTTGATTGCAATAAAAATATTAGCTTATAATTTTTTTTTTCTTTTTTTTTTTTTTACAATAACAAAAATGTTTGAATGTTAGGAGTGGAGTTGGGATCCTTTGCCATACACATTGCAGAGCACTCTAAGTCTAGACTTGCGAGTTTTCCTTTGAATCTAATCACACTCCTTTTCTGCAAATAATATCGAATGTTAAAGTTTTTTGGAATAGAGAGAGTAATGATCCTCATTGGTATTGGAAAATAAACAAATAAATAGTATGTTTTTTTTTTACTTGGTACTTATACACATGTCTTCATTTCGAACCCTTGACAAGTAAAAACTTGATAACGCTAAACTATTTATCTATTGATAAATAAATTGCATGTCATGGATCTTAATTTAATTATGATTTATTACATTGTGATGCAAATTTACTGTGTGATCCACTCGTCTGCTGCAAATAATGTCGAATGTTAAAATTTTTGGAAATATATGGAGTAATGAT